TAGAAAGCTGAAACTTTAGGGTTATGTTCCCTATCTATGCGTGACCAAAAAATTTTAGATTCAGCTCCTTAAAACCATCTGGTACTCATGCACGGACACGTGAAAATTTTGATGGGAAGACTGCTAACTTGGGGACGGGAAAAGCTGGAGGCTTTAATTTTAAGGGTATGTTTTGATGGGAAAACTGCTAACTCGGGAACGGGGAAAGCTGGAGGCTTTAATTGTAAGGGTATGTTCCCTCGACTAAAAAATTTTAAATTTAACTCTTCTAGCATGGCCTTTTTTTGCGGACCAGCAACTTTCCATTTGTCGGGTCACTAAAGTCACCTACAACTGACATACCACATAGTTACACAATTAACTTCCCGAACTTCGAGGGCCAGTATTTCACAAGGCTCTTCTAGCGTGGCCTTTTTTTGCGGACCAGCAACTTTCCATTTGTCGGGCCACAGAAGTCGACACCTACGTCTAGCGTGGCCTTTTTTTGCGGGCCAGCAACTTTCCATTTGTCGGGTCACTGAAGTCGACACCTACAACTGATTTGCGGACCAGCAACTTTCAATTTGTCGGGTCACTGAAGTCGAACCTACAACTGAAATACCACATCAGCTGCACAATTAACTTCCGAACTTCGAGGGCCAGTATTTCTCAGGGTTAGCTACATTGACTCCTTCCGATTTTGCTACGGTACGAAAAGCGCAAAAACGCATAATCGCACCGCCCGCTTGGTGCGTTCCAGCCTGGGTTTGCATGAAGTCGCTTTTTCGGTAAATGCTCGTGTGAAAAAATGACAAATGCAAATTTTTTGAAAATATGCAAATTTCCAGTTCATGAAAAATTGGAAATGTTGCTCGAACGGTCGTTTGCCAAAAAATCCATGTTCATTTGAATATGCGATAACGGTTCAGGTCCGAGTTGCGAACGATTTTTGGGTTGAGGAGCTGCTTGAGGCTCTGGTTGAGGGGCCCGGTAACTGAGTTTAAAATCTTTAGCTCACACGTGCATAGAGAATATCCCTGCAAAGTTTCAGCTTTCTACCTTGCCTGGTTCGCAAAGTCGTTTCCCGCCAACAT